AGAGAGAGAGAGAGAGAGAGAGAATCGCAAATACAAATTTGGACAATCGCCTTGACTTTTAGCTAGGAACATGTAGAGAAAGCTGGCCTTTTTAAGCTAATAGAAATTTAAGGAAAAGGGAAGGAGAAAGAGAATCCAGGAAAGAACATATCTAGTAAGAGAATCCATTTCTATCTACATCTCCAACCCTTGAGTTTTATTGGGATGAACAGATGCAAAAGAGCTCAACCAAAGAGAAAAGATCTAAACAGAAAAATCACCACTGGGGCTGGAGAGATGGCTCAGAGGTTAAAAGCACTGGCTGCTCTTCCAGAGGTCAAGAGCACTGGCTGCTGTTCCAGAGGTCCTGAGTTCAATTCCCAGCAACCACATGGTGTCTCACAATCATCTGTTATGATCTGGTGCCCTCTTCTGGTGTGCAGATATACATGGAAGCAGAATGTTGTGTACATAATAAAAATAAATAAAATCTTAAAAAAAAAACAGAAAAATCACCACTAAGAAATGGTTTGTAATGCAAGCCCAATTGAGAAAATTATCCACTAAAATACAGGAAATAATACACAACAGACTAGGACTCTCCATAGTCCAGTGCTTCTGTCTTAGGCACTGTCCTATGGCTGCAAAGAGACACTATGACCAAGGCAATTCTATTGAAGGGGCCAGCTCCCCATTTCGACATCCATAACAGCCTAGCACGTACTTGCCTGACCTTGTCTTGGTCACTAGGAGGTCAGATGCCTGCCTCGTGGCAAGGAACCAATCAGAAGTTAGCTGGTGGTTCTATGCTTTATGGCTCTGGGTGTGCTTTACAGACAAGTGCACAGCAATGATGCGCAGAGCATAGCAACCACCATGGGAGGGCTTATGGTCCATAACAACCAGTTGACCAATCAACACAGGGCAAACCCTCCCAGCCTGGAGGCACACCAATCCTGAGCCTAGACACTCCCCTTACGCTGCCCTATAAGATCTCTATGCAGACGCTTTGCATCATCTTTCCTAGCCATCTGCCATGGTGGGTGGATGAAAAACCCCAGCTAACATGGGGTTAGCTCGTTAAATAACTACAATAAAGCCTCGTGCAGTTGGCATCAAGCTTTCACCTCCGCCTGGTGACTGGGATGGCCGAGGTCCTGGACCAAGATCCTGGGTGCCTGAGCCTCCGGGGGTCTTACACTATGAAAGAAGCATTTCATTGGGGACTTGCTTATAGTTTCAGAGGGTTTGTCTGTTACCATCATGGCAGGGAGCACAGCTGAATACAGGCAGACATGATGCTGGAGAAGTAGCTGAGATCCTGATCCACAGGCAGAAAGAAAAACACTGGGCCTGGTATGGGCTTCTGAAACCTCAAAGCTCACCCTCAGTGACACATTTCCTCCAACAAGGCCACACCTTCTAATTCTTCTCTTCCTTTCAAATAGTACCACTCCCTGGTGATCAAGCTTTCAATACAAGAGCCTATGGGGGTCATTCTTATTTAAACCACTATAGTTCCCAATGTCTAGAATACATGCTAAAACATAAAATAAACCAAGAAAACAGAGTATATCCCCAGGGAAAATCCAATCTAGTCTGAGACGCTGAAACTAATGAAGATCTAGAAGCTATTATTTTCAGATAGTAGAAGTTGTTTTTTGCTGCTGTTGTTTTCTGTTGTTGTTCTTTTCTTTCCTGCTTTTTGTTTCTTTGAGGCAAGATCTCAATCTCTGTATTTAATTGAGGATAACCTCTAATTATCTTCCTCTGCCTCCTAAGTGTTGGGAGGCACTTGACCAAAAAAAAAGAACCCCTGGGACAGTGGTGGCAAACGCCTTTAATCCCAGTGCTAGGGAGGCAGAGGCAGGTAAATCTCTGTGAGTGAGTTCAAGGCCAGCCTGGTCTACAAAGTGAGCTCTAGGACAGCCAGGATTACACAGAGAAACTGCCATTCTGTGGGATGATAGTTAATACTGACTGTCACCTAGAAGTGAACCCTCTGGGCATGTATGTAAGGGTTTAGCTAGATTAGGTAGTGTGAGATAGAGACAGAACATTATTCCAGGGGCTGAGCTCCTTACTGACTAAAAAGGAGAAATGAGCTAAGCACTCATCCTCATCATGCTCTCCGTCCTGACTGTGGACACAATGTTACCAGCGCCTGTCACCCCTTCTACCACATCTCCTTGAAAAACAAGCTAAAATAAAGCCAATCTTGTTGGATTGCTGCTGTTTATTTTTGTGTTGTCCATACTGAGACCGATTTCTCAACTTTCCATATGCTCTCACTGAATTCAGAGCAAGAAGAGCTGTTCTGTACAATATCTAACAGTATCATACTACTGAACTATCATAACACAAATAACTCGAGCATACATAAAACGAAAATATTTAGGAACTAGTTTTTGTATTGCTTTTGCTTTAAAACTGATTATTTAATCAAAAGTTTAAAGAATTATTTTTATTTTTTTGATTTATGTGTAGTTCTGTGCACATTTTGCCATATATATGTAGGTGTCCATGGAGGTCTGAGGATCTGGAATTACAGGTAGTTTTGGGTCATCTAAGGTGGGTGCTGAGAACTAGATTCAGTTCCTCTGGAAGAGCAGTAAATGTTAATCACTGAGACATCTTTCCAGATTCTAATCCTAAATTCATACAGCTAAAATTTTTAAAATAATAGCTTGTCTACAGATTCTTTAAAAATTGATAGCCAAATTTGCAGGTCAGTGCAGTCCAGCTTCTGCCACCACTGAAATAATTCCAGGCAAGGAAGTGAGTATAAGGCACATACTTCATCCAGCTGGAGCTCAGGAACAGCCTGTAAAAGCCAGAACACTTGTTTGGAAACAGAGAAAGCTGACCACTCTTCTCACTTTCTAAGGTAGGGATGAGATAAGGGTTTCCTTAGCACTGGTTTTTGTTTTGAGGTTTTGTTTGTTTGTTTTGTTTTGTTTTGAGACAGGGTTTCTCTGTGTAGCCCTGGCTGTTCTGAAACTCATTCGGTAGACCAAAGTATTTGGCCTCAAATTCAGAGATTTGCCTGCCTCTGCCTCCCAAGTGCTGGGATTAAATGCCAGCTCCACCACCTCTGTCCAGCAAGCACAGTTATTTCAATAACCTAAAGCTGTTTTGTCCCCCGGGCTCTCCTCCCACCATACCTCCCCACTCCCTCCACTGCTTCCAGGACCACAGTTTCCTCCACCAGGTATTCACTCATGTTCCCAATAGCACCAAGGTTTCTACTCTTCATTGGACCACAGTTAGAAGGTTGCAGGTTATAATTTCCAAAATCACGGTAATTTCCACGTCAGTAATTTCCTCTTCTATAGTTGTCATAATCACCTCCATGGCCTCCAAACCTGGTTCCCATATCCAGATCCTCCATCACTATATCTTCCTCTTCCTCCTCCACAATCAGGGCTACCCCCAAAACTTGTACCTTCAGGTATACCCATGATAGCCATCCCCAAATTTACATCCCACTTTTATATCTATCATATTTTACGCCTGCACAAACACACACAAATTGCTTCCTGGTCTTGCTCCAAAATTTCCACAGCCACTACAAGACTCCCCAAACCTTCACTTCCACTCCTAGAACTTGAGACATCCTGCATTTCTTGTCTAGACAATGCTTTTCTTACTGCTGTGTTTCAACACCTGATGGTTTGATATTGTGCAACACAATTTTATCTACAGGATCATGAATGACCGTAAAATGTAACAAAGCCAAGGCCCCACTTCCTTCCAGACTGCCTATCAGTAATTATTTCAATAGTATCAATTTTTCCATATTCTTCAAAGTAATCTCTAAGGTGGTGTTCCTCAGGTGTTCTAATCCTGCCATCAAATAGCTACTTCACAGTCACAAGGAGTCTAGGTTTTCCAGACTCTTCTCTTGATATGAAATGTTTCACTCAACTTCTCTCCCGTCTATTAAATGAGGCTTTGCAGTCAAGGCAGCATCAACTGCCGCCAAGGAAAGTTACAAAATCAAATCATTTTGCTTGTAGGATGCCTCATAACCACAGTCTGTAAACTTACCTAATGCTCCTAGTAGTTTCTTAAATGTTCTTCTGTGGTTTCAAAATGCAAGCCACCAATGAAGAATTTCCAGAATGGTTCCTTTTCTGTTTCCTCTCCAAAGGAACCATTTTTTAAAGTTTTCTCCATTGCAGACTCAGTTGCTTCAGCCTGATTTCCAGCAGCTGAGTAAGATGAGAAAGACTTCCATACAGAGGCACAGGATTCGCCATGATGCTGTAGTGAGAGTTTCCATGGTCCAACACAATGTAACTGAGGGCACCTGCACACAGCACACAGGACAGAGCACCTATCTAATTTCTATTTCACCATTTTTTTTTCTTTTTTTCTTTCTGAGACAAGGTTTCTCTTTGTAGTTCTCACTGTCCCGTAATTTGCTCTGTATACCAGTCTGGTCCACCTGCCTCTGCCTCCCAAGTGCTGATATTAAAGATATGGATCACCTGGCTCCTATTTCACCCATGTTTAATGGTAAAGGAATTATTTTTCTTGGAAGTCCAAAAACTACCCACAGCAACAATCTGGCAGGGTATGTGGTGTCACTGTGTCCATCTATAAGGGACTGACTTGCAGCTCAACAGCCCAGCAGCAAAAGAAGTTTGTCATCTTGCAAAATGTTTCACAAACAAAAAGAAAATAACAACAATCCTTTCCCACTATAAAAAATGGCTACAGCTGCCTAAATGCCATTTACAAATACCCCATTTCATCCAGATCTGAGAATCCCAAGTAATGCCCCCAAGTGAGTACCCAAACATGGAAATATCTAAATAACAGTGGATGCATCCAATCACAGAGGAAGAAATCCCGAGTACACATCATAGATCTCTGAAACAGCAATGGAGGTTTAACTGGTTTGCCAAGTCAGACTTCAGCCAAGGTTATGGATTTCTCATTTGTTCATTTCTTTGTGTGGCTGCCCAGCTGCAGTTCCCTCTCAATGTTAGGAAAGCCTCCATATGTTTTTTTGTTTGTTTTTGCTTTTGTTTTTCAAGACACGGTTTCTCTATGGCTTTGGAGGCTGTCCTGGAGCTAGCTCTTGTAGATCAGGCTGGTCTCAAACTCACATAGATCCGCCTGCCTCTGTCTCCTGAGTGCTGGGACTAAAGGTGTGTGCCACCACTACCTGGCCGAGGAAAGCCTCTATATTTTAAGACTTCAGAAAAAGAAAGCTTTAGGAAGCATTTTTCTGAGTAGCTGAGTTGGGGCTGTTCTAGACTCAACAGCAGATGAATGGAAGAAGGTCCTCCAGTAGTTTTATGAATGTTCTCTGCTAACTCTGAAACAGTTTACCAACTCTCCAGATATCAGAATGCCATGAAGCCAATTTCCTAGATTTATGGTTCCTTATTCTAATACCAACAGCAGTCACTGTTAAAGCTACCTTTACTGGGTCTGTAAGGCCAGCACTGAACTAAGAGCATGACATGAATTACTTCACTTAATACTCACAACTGCCTACAAGATAAATACAATGTTCTCAATTTCCTCATGACGTTAAGGTTGCAAAGGTTAAGGAATTAAACTGAACAATGCATGTCCTCCTGCAAATGAAACACTGTAAGAGATGAACTAACAATAAGTACTGACCATATGTCAGATGTCATTCTATGTGCCAATCATATAATAAGTGACTGCATTCTCTCTGCTTCATATATATCAATACATATAACCTTGTAGCTATCTTCAGGCCTCTGTACCATTATTCCTGCTTTTAGGAAATCTGCTAAGGTCACCTAGCAATTGATTAACTGGGATTCAAACCTGGCATTCTGATTTGAAACTTTAACCTCACAATACACTACTTCTTCAAGAATGACTAAAATTAAATGGTGAATTAAAACTACCTAACCAAACATATCAACAATGCCAAGGTTGAGGAATTCGGTAGACAGCCTGGTGTGTGAAGTCTTCAGACTAGCAAGACTGTTAGCATCTACTCATGCTTTCTTATAAAGGCAGCCTATTGCAGCTGCCTTAGAGAGGGCACACCCCCATGCCCTCATGAAACATGGAGGTCTCCAGCAGGCTTTCTGGGCACAAAGAAAACAATTGAGCTAGTCCCCTGCCCCCTTCTCCAACTGCCTCTCGGGCCATAATCTCCCCAAACTCTCTTCACATAAGCCAACTTTGCAGCCAAAAGTCAAGTAACTTCATCTTCACCCTAGGAATAGAGTAACTCTCATTATCAATTTAACATTTAGTCTATATCCTTTCTATAGCTGCCAAGACCAAGGGTTAAAACGCTCGTGTCATATTTTTCTGGCTTATTTGTATTTTTCAAATCCTGAAATAACCTTGATGTAACAAAAAGCTTTCCATTTGACAATTGATCACTTATGGGTAGATTGTCATAGGGACAAGAAGTGTCATTAACAAAGTTCATCCAAAGGCCAAAAGAAACACATATTAGGAACAAGTTTATGCACAGAAAAGCTTAATTTCTAAAAAAAATGCTTAGAGAAAACCTTAAATCTTTGTAGAAAATATCTATAGCCTTGTCGATTATATAAGGCATTTATCATTATTTAACAGTAGTGTCATTTATTTAACAATTTAATTAACAGTTTGATTTCAACCCAGTTTACCACCGAGCAAGCAAAATTAAAGGTATTATAAAAATAAAGTTTCCTCAGATGTTTCTTAAATCTGCCATATTTTTATGACTTCTCTGAAAATACAATAAAAAGTACCCTAAAATGCTTCAATGTTTAGGTCACTGCTTATATTCAGTATATATTGTTTCTGCTTTCCAGTAATATTTTCTACCAGTTTTGTAGAATTAAATTATTAATTTCAGCCAATGCTAGATTTAAAAAAATAAGTGAATAAGTAAGGCAGAGAGCAAAGACAGAAAGTGCAAATATTCCAGCTCAATTGTTCTAGTACTGGCTTCAAACAGGAGGGTCGAAGTGCTGAGTGAACTAATTATACATCTCAAGACAGGCCATATTTTGTTCCAATGCCAAAAGTACAAATGCCTTTTGTGTCAAATGAAATTATTCAGATTTTTGTTTGCCCATATGAAGACAAAGCAATTCTAATAAGCTCATAATTTAAATACTTTCTGAAATTTCCTCCACTATTAGTACAAATGCAACTTATTAAAAGGATGAATATAAGTACCGTATGCATCAATTCAGTATGGCTCCAAAGTATGAGGTAAACCAACATGCTAAAGGAAACTGAAGGAGCACCTGCTCAACCACTAAGGGTGTCAACCTCAGGTCCAGCTCTGCCCCTATCCATACTTCACAGATGTCACTTGACTCCTGTGACCTTCATTTCCCTCATTTTAGGGAGATTACTAGAGCTGGTGAGATGGCTCAACAAATACCACCCAGCCTGAGTGTGACCTTTGGGACCCACATTGTGGAAAGAGAGAACCAGCTCCCACTAGTTGTCCTCTGACTTTACACATGTGCTGTGGCAGGAGCATGGGTGCACATGCACACACTCACATAAAATCAATTAAAATTAATAAAAATGGGGTTATTAAACATCCCAACATGTCATATAGGTATGGGGTGAATCAAGTGTAAGAGCTGGGAATGTAACTCTGTGGTAGAACATTTGCCTTGCTTGCATGTACAAGGCCCTGGGTTCAATCCCCAGCATCACAAAACAAGGAAACAGATAACAGTGCTAGAGAATCAAATATGAAATGCCATATACCATGAACACCACATTAAGACATTACAATCATCCTCAGCTCAACACCAACAGACAAATAGTGGAGTAGATCTATCAACACTAGTATTTCTAAAAACTGAAAACCTCTGGAGTCAACATGATGTGTCACAATGCGGCAGATTCTACTTTTACAGACTACCTGTAAAAGTCTATGTGAAACACAAATGAACTCTGTGATTAAATGTGGGATCAACCCCTAAGATATATCATTATATATCTATAAATATACCCAAAAAAGTGTAACTGAAATCCAGAAACATGTCTGATCTTCAGAAACATGAATCCAAAACAATTCCCAAACAGTTCAAATAAGAGATATTTGACCTGAATTTAACATAGTAAATTCTTCACTGTCACCAGGGGCATTCTATACTTTTCTACAACAGACCATAATCAAGACAGTTAAATTACAGATATAAATGTTAATGTGTGTAGTTTACTTCCTCCTTGCCATTAAGTCATTTTGATAATTCCATGGCTTCAATAGACAGGGAACTCTAGAACCTATTATTATAAAAGAAGAAAAACAGATTCGTTAAGTCCAGATAATTACTGAATTTGAACAAGTATATGGAAATTCATTTACGACTCTGCCAATTTTTTTATTTTTTGCATTTGTTGCAAGTCAGTGTTTGAACCCATTGCTACCAACCCTGAACACCATGTATCTTCACACCCCAACACTATTTTATTTTAAATACTTGCCTAACTACTCATCCTCTGCTGGTCATTGTCATGTCTTTGCTGCTAGATCCCTCTTGAAACCTATTCCTTCTCTTCTTTCACCCATTTACAGGCCCAGAACCTCCACCCTGTTCCCCAAACACACCGATCTTATTTTCTGCTTTTGCTGTTTCTCCTGCCTGGAAGATTATTTCTCTAAGATTTTTGCATGACTCTCATATCTCATTCAAGTTTCTACTCAAATATTATATCCTCAGAAAGCTATTTTTGACCAACTTTTGTAAATGAGCACACTTTGTCACTTTTAGCCTTCCATCATGCTTCATGGCAGATAACTAATATTATATAACAATAAACATAGTCAACATGTCTTTTGCCAATACCTATAAAATAAAAGCCAACTCCAACTTGACACTCAAAATCTTTCCAATTATTTTCTCTCCACTAAGTATGCTTTAGATTTGTTAAATCAAAATCCCTCTCCACATACATATTTCCCAATTTCCTCTCCCTGTCTTTAAAAAGGACATCACTCACATGCTCAATTCTACACATATTCCAAGAGTGTAGTGACAGTGTCACTAATATTCCTGATGATATTCCTCTAAACTGCCATAACCTTTAATCCTTATCACTCTATAGGCACTGTTATCTTGCAATTTCTTTCTAAATTTCATTGATTAATCACCATATACCTTAAATAAAAGGTCTACACTCAATTTAATATTTAGACCTCAGAATTACACAAAAGAATTTGTATATTTTCTTGAGTATTAGAAGTTCTTATGTAGAGTTGCTAAATAAAGAGAAAAGCAGAAAAGAACTCAGACTATAATTCCAGAACAAGAAAACACAACTTATTTGTTTCCTTTGCTGTTATTTAAA